TTGTTCTATAAGCATATTTTCAAGACTACTATTAGACCATATGTATTAGATGTATTCACCCTATTTCATCTAAGGTGATAAAGGGGCTAGTAGTCGAATGTTCCAGGCCAGGCATTTTATAATATCACATTCTGTGCCCAGGTTAACGTATTCATAGCTTTTGTATTAAGACAAATTGCTCGCAATTCAATATAAACGCGAAATCATCTACTACTGAAATTACTACTCATATCACCCAACATAATGGATACCTATCTGTGCCTAATTTATATCTACCTACTTTTTGGCAAAACCAACTTATAAGCGAAAAATAGGCTGATGCAATTTTGAATTATATTTAAAATGATTTAAACACTTCATTTTTATCATTTTGCTGGAATTCCGCCGAGAAGAGTTGATTTCGTAAGCAAGTCATGTCTTCATAGTCAAGATGCCTCAAGTCTGTATCGATAACTTTTCCCAGTTTAGTCATTTTTAGTCGGTTCAGCTGACTTTAAAGTTTTTAATTTCCAGCTCTGAGATGAATAAAACCGCGAGACATTTTGCATAGTTGCAGTCTCTTGTCTAAGCCTGATTATGGCTGGCCGTCCTCCAACAATCTCTCGTACCTGTTGCCATGACGAAGTGGCTTCGCGCTCGCACAGCTGCATTCACTCATTCCGTCTCCTCCCTGGCCTTCGTAGATATGCACAGAATCTTCGTTGTCTTGTCTCCTGCCAAATAGACTCATTCTGTGCGAATAGTTTGCTTTGCTTGAGCCCCCCTTTCCATTTCCCATACATTTCTGGTCGGGATGCAGAAAAGCCGGCAATTTTTGCTCTAGACTCCATTTTAGTCTCATGACTACTGTTGACACCTAAACTGATTGCCTTCAGTCAATCATCAACATCCACATTTATCAGACTTTCTATCAATCAACTTTCCATCCATACACCCACTTCGCAAAGGCCATCCTTCTTCCATTTTGTCCCATTTGTCGCAGGAAATTAATCGCCTAATTTGGCAGAAGACGCAGCGATCATTTCAAGCGCATACACCTCACGCCTAAGCATGAACAAAACAATGTCACCTTCCGGTTCTGTTGCCTCACGAACTCCTTGGAAGGGCCAAAATGGGAGGATGAGGCAGCGAAGCGTTTGCCCAGCTTAGTACCACTTGAAATGGACGTGTGAGTCTCTGCTGAAATTGAAGTGAAAGTCGGTTGCATGCCCCAGCTCGTTTCTAGCGTTTCGACTACAAAGGAAACAGCCCCGGGGCTATAAATAGCAGGAGATACCTCACGTATGCATCTGCAAGGTATCCGCCTATGCATACGGCAGATCATAGCTGGAAATCACTAAATTTATGAGACAGAGCAAACAACTTTTCCTCTCGTCCCCATTCAGCTGCACTGACTATGCAAGCTTGCGTCAAACAAATATTGCAAGTCAAGCACCTCCACCTCTTGAGCCGGGCAATGTCAGAAACGGGAACACCAACAAATTAAATATTTTGGGACTACATTTTTCCTGCGCGCCTCCATAAAACGCCACCTAAATCACCCTTGTCACATTAGTACTTTGCAAGAGCCTATGCCCTATTATATCATTTTATGCGTTTCCAGGCCACACAATATTGTACGTATATTCCCATAGTTAGAGAGTCTTTTTTTCCAATCTTCTACACTATTCTATATTTCGTTATACTTTATTCTATAGCTTTATGTCTAGTTATGTAATAGTACCATTTTAAACTAGACTATATTATTATATAGTGCATATATTATAGACATTAAATATTATATCATTTTATATTAAGCCGATAATATATTCTATTAGACTGCTATTATAGACCAGTATAGTACAGTATACCTTGATGCACTGTGATTCACAGTCATTAGCCATACTGCACTTTTAATTTCCAAATTCACTATGCTTCAGTCTGTTGCACCATTGTATGAACTGTCTGTCTTTTTGCAGCGTCAAGAAAGCCACTTCTCACGGCCCACTATATTCCATGTAGATGGGCTGATAGGCCACACAATTTCACACAGATTTGGCATTGCAGGTGCCTACTGTTCGCAGTCTATCGGTTGCAGCAAAGTGGTGAGGGGATGAAGCTGTTATTCTGCTCACCTTGTACCATAAGTGTATGTGTAGAGCTGGTAAAATGGCAACTTTGAGTGTAGCCATGCCAGTGAGTTGGCAACAAATAAAATCCTTTTTGAGATAAAAATAGTCCGAGGGTTTGTCGTTCCAGTCAAGTTTTTCTGACTGATCTCTCTTCCTAAACGCATATGTGCGTGATGTAAAATGGCATTTTTTGCCATAATAAGCGACATTACTGAGAAAATTAGGCTAAGCCTATAATGAAATTACTTAAAATTACGTGTTTGCTTGCGTGTTTCATACGATTTAACCTGCCCGTAGGGATGTAAATGATTCAAATAAAGTGTCCTCTAAGCTATCTAACATAATGGTATGTTTGATAGGGAATATTTCCGTCTGATCGAAACAATGGAAGGGTTAAATAATAAAATAATGAATTTCATTTGTTGGACGAAATTATGCGGTTGTTTTGGAGATGAGATATCACGGCGAAATAGTGATTGCAGGCTTTGGTAGAAAAAAAATAACTTTTTGTATTTAAGGCATACTCAGCGACACGGCTAGAATAAAGCCTCTGTACAACCTAGCACTCATCAGATGTTGTCACTATAAAATGTATTTACTTGTTACCATAGTGATCCTGCCTCTTAAAATGTCATTTCTTGGGCTTGACACCCCTTTCACGTGCCTTTTGTATGTGAAAAATGTACCGAATCAGCGATCCGATGCTGAAGGTGAGCATGGGGGAGGACGCAGTATGGAATGTGTTCTCCTAAGTCCCTTCGACACTAATTGAACTAAGATGTCTTAATACGGGCTTCTGGCTGTCAATTATTCTTCTAATTATCTTTGGGTAGCTTACTTTTGTGGCTACTGGTATCAATACTTATGTCCATTTGGGCCGATTCAGTTTGCGCCAAACAAGGCAGGTTCTTATGCCTTGGTTGTGTCGAAATGAACGTAAGTTCCAAACTCGCCCATTTTGTTAAAATCACTTTGACCACTCGTCCGAGAGCGATAAATAGAGACAATCTATATAAATTTCTAGAGGTGTTCGCAACATGATCATATTGGTAGGAAGACTTAGAGGAACGCACCTAGTCCGCACTCCATTATATGCATGATCATTTCCAAAGTTAAACCGTGGACGTGGTACATTCCCAGATGTTTTGGGAATTTTAGCATAACCAACTCCAAAATTCAAGATTTAGTAACAAATTAGTACTTTTATCAATTTTAAATTAGATTCGATTTCTTGAAGTACACTTATTATTTATTTTGTTTAATTATTATATGATAATGCCAACGAGTCCATCATTTTACAAATCCCATTAGTCACCTAGGCTTGTCCTATTATTATGAGATTTTTTATATATGCTCACTTTTGCAAGAAATGAGAACTTGATATTTATATTTCCGTGGTAATACTAACTGGAACCAACCAGGATACTTATATGAAGATATGAAGACCAAGATGGTAGGGCCTTTTGTGTGGTCGCAGTCTCCTTTCGTTGTATAGAGGCTGCTTAACCTTGTTTTCGCAACTCGGTCATGTTGGTAGGAAGACGTAGAGGAACACACCTTGTCCGCAGTCCATTGTATGAATCATAATTTCCAGAGTAGGACCGTGGACGTGGTAAATTCCCAGTGGTTTCGCCGGCATCATCAGTGAGTCTCGCCATTATTAGCGCCATGTAACAACTCCTCAAAGAGACAAGTGAGGCCGATCCTTTGACCAAACGTGTGCTAAACAGTTGTGGTATCTCCCCTTCTGCCCTGAGCTATTCACATTTCCTAAGTCATCCTATCACATATTCCCTGTCACAATTTTTTCCGTGCTTATTTTGAGGATGGTGATGATTTATGAAATGTGAATAGCCCAGGGCAGAAAGGGAGATACCACAACAGTTTGGCACACGTTTGGTCAAAGGATCGGCTTCACTTGTCTCTGACGAGTTGTTATATGGTTCTACGAATGGCAAAACTCACTGACTATACCGACTAGGATTCCGGCGAAACATTTGGGAATGTACCACGTCCCCTACTCTGGAAATGATGATGCATACAATGGACTCCGGACTAGGTGCGTTCCTCTAAGTCTTCCTACCAATGTGACCATGTTGCGAAAAAAAGGTCAAACAACCTTTATACAACGAAACGAGACTGCGACCACACAAAAGGCCACACCATCTTGGTCTTCATACCTTCGATTAATATATAAATTTCTGCTCGCTAATGCTATGAGTATATACAGCATGTGAGATAAAGCCGAATGATCTTCGTGACTTGACGTAAGTAGCATGAAGCTTTTGAATGAATGAATTTTGGTCCTGACGACGTCTTTCTATCGACATGACGGAAGAAAGTACAGCCCATCTTCACGCGAAACGAGGAGGATGCCTCGTGGACTGCGGAATCCCATACATGGTAGCAAAACAACGCCAGGTCAGGAATACTTTCCGCGTCTATTCTACCTGTTGTATATACTCAAAGTGAAAAGGATATAAATATATAAATAAAAATAATAATAATAAATAAATAAATAAATATATTGTGAGAGAGAACGTGTGTGTATGTGCCTAGTGAAACCGTTGTCACTCTTAAGACTGGCAGTGGGGCTGGCAGAGTCGAACCCAGTCCCACCGCATCGTTAAGGCCTTCTGCCGACTCAGAGAGAAGGCAAAAAATGCTCTCAGCTGAGTAAATAATAGAGTCCAGAAAGCGGTGTTTACTTGCATGTCCGTCTCTGTCCGGTTAGTTATCGGTCGCCGTGCCTGTGAAATCCGCTGTAGCCTAAGCCAGAGCCTGTGGAGGCCTTACTTTGTGACTCAAGACAAATTAAATGTTTCAATATTAACTTCGATAAATGACCACACTTTGCTGTCTGACTAGAGCCAGGTTTCTCAGTCAAGTTCAGAACCGGTGGGCCACGGTGTGTTGGACTAGCGGAAGAAGCGGCATATTCTCGGTCTGTTGTAGGCTCTTGGGCTTGTCTAATGACTCACAAACGAATGAGTCCGACCGAGGCTGGGAAGTTGCGGATGAGAGGGTGGCAGCAGGGCTCCGTCGGCAGGATGGGGCGCCAGAATTGGGAGCTATCGACGCAAGAGGAGCTATGCAGTTTTGACTTTCTGCCCTAGCGAAGATGCTCAGGCCGTCTGAGAGGAAGCACATATTACGATGGGCGAGACAACTGAAGAAGCCGCAGCTCTTCCGTGAAGACGACCGGACGACGCGTCGCAAGTGTTAATCACAATAAGGCGAGGCCTTAATTTTTTGAGCCACCTCTTTTTGCCGCGGTTCACCGGCATCAACTCCATTTTGTCGGCACATCCCCAACCTGATGCACAGACAAACACAGTCTCGTGGTCCCTTTGAGTACCATCTAACTTCAGGACTCATGCAATAAAAGAAACGTGTTTGCTCTTGTTCAAACTCACTTAAAATGGCCGATTCACACAACAGTCACATCGCTTAGTCACGAGCAACTTGCAGTCTCGGCCGACCCAACTAAACTCTAAAATGTATCGTCTTCACAGGACTCTAGAAGCACTTTCCCTTCGAGTGTTACTTTTGCCTATTTTTGATGCATATACGAAGGGTAGCTGGGCTTAGACTAGCCTCAAGAGATACCAATGTCGGAGAGATTTGTATTTCCTATGAATGTGCATAATGAAAATATTAATTACTTAATCCCACCGGAAAACAACGGCCGATTCCCGCTGTTCTGCAGCCATTTGGCTTTGATACAACTTCAAGAAGACCATCTAGCTCTATCCAAAGTAATATACATGAATGGTAGCATATGACGTGTAGGCAAAGACACAGAATTTAGATTTAGATTTTTCATGAAATTTTATCAAAAATATTTTCTTGTTCTGAAGACGTCCCTCATACCGCATGGAATCCCAGAGTCGAATGATGGCGGCGTGACGACTACTCATAATAAATAAGGAA